TTGCGCACACAACAGGTATATGGAACCCCACAGGCTAGCGGACCAGTCCCATTGCAGAAGTGGTACTGATTGACTCCCCAGTCTTTATATTCATCTCCTCCACAGCAAGAAAACTGGAAAATAAAAAAGACCATCAGAGACCAACAATATAATAAACCAGAGGCAACTACAACACACCGAGTTCAGCTTTCACCTGCCCTACACGACCTCCCGCCACCACACCCCATCTCCCCAAACCACCACCAGCAGATTATCCCTCCACACACCCGGCTCCTAAACAAAGGTCTGCAGGACAAAGTGTGCCTTCACTTTTCTGACTATCAGTTACAGGAAGGTATTGTGAAACATGTCTCAGAGAAAATACAATCAAGCTTTCAACTTGTTGGAACCCAAAAAGAGCTTTTCCCCTCTGCGACAGAATGACCCAAACTGCATGCTGCTTCACTGGGCATCATGCTGATTGTCCAGAACAATCAAAGGGACAAACACAAAATTTCTACCAATGATTTTAGAAATCTCAGTCACTCTTTTTCAATAAATCTGGTCTCTAGTATTTATGAATACCTTGCGAGTCGATTTCTGTGGAAAAAAAAATCACTGATGTTCCTGTTTCAGGATATAAACAAATGTCTGAGGTGTGGAGGACACAACATGAAAGGATTTGGAGTCTTACTAATTAATATTTTTGTTAATAATGATATTCAAACATCTTGCCTCTGATTGGCAACACAACTCTCCCACTGCCTTCTTTGCTCTTCTTTTCTTGGGTAGAAAATACAATCGTGATGTTATCTCCACAAATATCAGAAGCCTGAATGTGTTCTGCCATGTTGTGGAGTTGCTAATGCTAACAGTTAATTAATACTAACTGTTCTCTCCTGGCCGCACCAAAACAGCCTTCTGCAGTCACAAGACTAGCTGGGCAAAGCCATGAATGCAAATGTTCCCTGTGACGTACAAGAGGCTGGCTTTATCTGACCGGATGATTTCCCCAACCTTTCCTTTTTAAGGCTTGTAAATGCTTGCATTTGCAACTCCAATCATATTTAAGAACAAACTAGTATTAACTCTGTTAACAAGACTATTAAAATGTTTTTTTAAACAATTTAAACATCCATCCATCCATTTTCATCCGCTTATCCGGAGCCGGGTCGCGGGGGGCAATAGCCCAAGGCGAGAGGCCCAGACTTCCCTCTCCCCAGCCACTTGGGCCAGCTCCTCTGAGGGAACGGCCAGTCGAGAGACATAGTCCCTCCACCGTGTCCTGGGTCTACCTTTAGGTCTCCTCCCGGTTGGACGTGCCCGGAAAACCTCACCAGAAAGGCATCCAGGAGGCATCCTGACCAGAGGCTCGAGCCACCTCAACTGGCTCCTCTCAATGTGGAGGACCAGCGGGTCTACTCCGAGCCCCTCCCGAATGACCGAGCTTCTCACCCTGTCTGTAAGGGAGAGCCCAGCCACTCTTCGAAGAAAACTCATTTCGGCCACTTTTATCCGCGATCTCGTTCTTTCGGTCACTACCCAAAGCTCATGACCATAGGTGAGGGTAGGAACGTAGATCGACCGGTAAATCGAGAGCTTCACCTTCTGACTCAGCTCTCTCTTCACCACGACAGACCAAGACAACGCCCGCATCACTGCAGATGCAGCACCAATCCGCCTATTAATCTCACGCTCCAGTTTTCCCTCACTTGTGAACAAGACCCCGAGATACTTAAACTCCTCCACTTGGGGCAGGACCTCATCCCTGACCCAGAGAAGGCATTCTACCCTTTTCCGAATCAAGACCATGGTCTCTGATTTAGAGGAGCTGATTCTCATTCCAGCTGCTTCACACTCAGCTGCGAACCGCTCCAGCGAAAGCTGAAGATCACGTTCTGATGAAGCCAACAGGACCACATCATCCGCAAAAAGCAGTGGCCTGATCCTCAGGCCACCAAAACGGATGCCCTCCAAACCTTGGCTGTGCCTAGAAATCCTGTCCATAAAGGTTATGAACAGAATCAGTGACAAAGGGCAGCCTTGGCGGAGTCCAACTCTCACTGGGAACAAGCCTGATTTACTGCCGGCAATGCAGACCAAGCTCTGACACTGGTCATACAGGGACCTAACAGCCCGTATCAGAGGGCCTGGTACCCCATACTCCTGGAGTACCCCCCACAGGGCCCCCCTGAGGGACGCGGTCAAACGCCTTCTCCAAATACACAAAACACATGTAGACTGGTTGGGCAAATTCCCACACACCCTCCAGGATCCCCCTAAGGGTATAGAGCTGGTCCAGTGTTCCATGGCCAGGACGAAAATCACATTTCTCCTCCTGAATCTGAGGTTCAACAATCCGACGGACCCTCCTCTCCAGAACCCCTGAATAGACCTTACCAGGAAGGCTCAGGAGTGTGATCCCCCTGTAGTTGGAACACAACCTGTGGTCCCCCTTTTTAAATAAGGGGACCACCACCCCGGTCTGCCAGTCCAGTGGGACTGCCCCCGATGTCCACACAATATTGCAGAGCCGCTTCAGCCAACACAGCCCCACAACATCCAGAGCCTTAAGGAACTCCGGGCAGATCTCATCCACCCCTGGAGCCTTGCCACAGACGAGCTTTTTAACCACCTCAGTGACCTCAGCACCAGAGATTTGAGAGGCCAACCCAAAGTCCCCAGACTCTGCTTCCTCACTGGAAGACGTGTCGGTGGGATTGAGGTCTTCGAAGTATTCTGCCCACCGATCCACAACGTCCTGAGTAGAGGTCAGCAGCACACCGTCCCCACTATAGATAGTGTTGGTAGCGCACTGCTCCCCCCACCCCCCCCCGAGGCGCCGTATGGTGGACCAGAATCTCCTCGAGCCGTACGGAAGTCTTGCTCCATGGTCTCACCTAACTCCTCCCATGCCCGGGTTTTTGCCTTGGCGACCACTCGAGCGCAATTTAAACAAAGAAATAAAAACATTTTATTGCAGAAAAAGAGACTAAATGACTATTGGACTTCACGGAAATGTAATTTCTTTAACATTGATGATGAATGTGCCCCAAAAATCAGTAGAACATTTTGGTCATCATCTGACCATGACCTCAACATTTCGGCATGAGATAAACCCATAAAGGCGGATGGTATAGGCCGCAGATGCTAACTTGTGAGGCTGCCCTCTTGAGCTATTGTTCACATTACAACTGAGTTCTCGATGAAAGCCCCCAGTACCCATTATTTAAAGCGCTCCAGGGTTTATATGTGGAGCATTGAGCCCTTGCTTTTCTTGTAGTTTTTTGTTTTCATTAATTAGGTTTGATTGATGCTAAAACTACAGGCTGTCAGTTAATGTTTTTAACCTCAGAAGCAACCTGTGGAGTTCTTAATTCCATTTTAAAGTCCAAAGTCCCATTGTCATCATCACATACTGGTGAAATTACGCATTTGACCCATCCCCAGCGGGAGAGCAGTGAGCTGCAGCGGTGGCTGCGCTCCGGAACTATTTGGTGGTTTAACCCCCCAATCCAACCCCTTAAAGCTGAGTGTCAACAGGGAGGCACCGGGTCCCATTTTTAAAGTCTTTGGTATGACCTGACTGGGATTTAGAACAATTAAGGGATTTTTTTTTGTCTTTTTTAATAAATTAAGCAAAAACTAGGATTATGCGTGGTAACCATATAGGCCCGGTTACTTTCGGTTTAGTAAACCTATTATAGCAGAATACTGAGAGGTTTTCACAAACATTTGTCATACTTCTCAAGCTGAACACCGGGTATTAAGAATCAACACATTTGTTCTGTGTAACAATGCATTTGATGCGAAAGACACTACCTTTTGTTGTACATAGTCCAGGATGTTTTTGAAGTCAAGATCATCGTAGTAGTGCTTAATTCCTTCTCGTATAGTGCTTTGAAACAAAGTCGATGTCTACAGGAAACAGAGGGAAGTAAAATGTTGAGAGGTGAGGATGGTCTTGGGTAGGACCGAATACAGCAGATACCAGTTACGACCCGACTGCAACTGACTTTAGGTTACTGTCGTAACCCCGATTCTCTGAGTAACATGAGTGAGATGTCTCTCTGTGGGATACGCCCCTCCTCAGAAACACTTATCTTAATACGCCAATCCTGATTGGCCAGTGGCCGTGACGCTCACGTCACCTGCTATTACAAGTAGCAAGCGTCCCAAAGCACATGTCATTCAAGATAAGCACCTCTTCTCACTTCACCCAGCAAAAAGGGTTGTCTGGTGAGACATCTCACTCATGTTACTCAGAGAACTGAGGTTACGACAGTTACCTAAAGTTCTCTTTCTTAACATTTGTTTCAATGTCTCACTATGGGATATGGAGACTCCCGTTTTGCCAGACAACTTACCCAACGATCACCAACCTACAGGGTCTTGGCTTGCTGAGGACCCTACACCCAGAATTGTGTGGGTCATAGCCGAAGCTAAGACGTCAAGCTTATAGAAATATGCAGATGCAAGTGGAGAAGCCCAACTTGCTGCAGCGCAAATCTCTTGGACAGACAGCTCTTGAAAAAGGGCACAAGAAGCAGACAGGCCCCTACTAGAATGAGCCCTGAGCCCTACAGGTGCATGAATGCCCTGGCAGGAGTAAGCCAGAGAAATAGCCTCCACAATCCAGTGGATAGTGATGGATCTCTTACCTCTCGACATAGTTTTCAGCACCCAATCTGAGGATTGCTGTAAAGACTCTGACACTAGTCAGTGACTTGATGCAACCTGCTGGGTTCCTTATATAGGAAACTTTTTTCTGATTGGCTTAATGAACTGAACTGTATTGGAATGCTTATTATGTGAAGTGCCTTGAGATGACTTGTCGTGATTTGGCGCTATATAAATAAACTTGAATTGAATTGGAAACCGCTGCCCATTCCTTTGTGTGAATGGAGAGCGGTGACACAGCCTTGACAGCTGCCACACATGGAGTAGCTGTGCCCTCTAGCGGCTGTGGCGTAGCGGCGCTGATGTTAACTACTGCGCATGAGCGGGGACTTTGTGCTGCAACAGCCTCGGCATACAAAGGCGCCCCTTGGCTGGCCTGCGGTTCCATCGGCGCCATGCGCAGCATTCCAGCCTTTTCCATACCCTCAAAGTCCAGCAAGGAGGCTCCTTTGACAGGAGACCTGGAGCTGAAAGGGTGTTGGTCCCAGGATGATGTAATCTCTTCAAGAAGCTCTGGGAAAACAGCCAGGAGAGGTTTTGCCACTCTTGTGGCCTGAGGCAGCTTTTTTCCCCCTCAGAATCAGTTTTATTTTTAGTGGTCCAGCGTCCCGAAGCACAGAAATTTGACTCCGCAGTACAGCCTGACCAAGGTTACACACACAAAACAGATACAGGCAGACCACGAGAGCTGCTATTCAAGGCGGTCGTAGCGAGATCTGACAGCTTCGGTGACCAAGGTGGGCCAGGGGATGTTGAGCCTGGTCGCAGTGCATCGGCAGAATAATTGCATGTCCAGGTGAGCGGCTGGAGAAACTGCTCCATCCCTGGGAGAGGACAGGAAGCTAGGCATGGAAGCCTGAGCAACAGGGAGAAAAACATCATCATCTTCGTCCTCCTCTGAAATGAGGAGTTCCGAGGTGTCCTCGTCGTCCCTGTAGTCCAGGAGACGAGGACGTGTGGAGTTTGAACGGCCAGATTGAGCTGGGAGCCCCAGTAGGGTTCGGCACATGGTTCATGCTCCGGGAGGGCATGCTTGGCGGCGTCCCCAGGCGGCAGCCCAGGAGCCGGCAGGCGTGGGTCCTTCCTCGGCAAGCTAGCTGACGATGAAGGTTCTTCAAAGTGAAGCAAGCACAGCTCTTGCATGACCCGGGAGCTTCCGCTGCTAGCCGGGCGTGTCCCAGCCCGAGGCAGCTTGAGCAGACCTGGTATGGGTCTTGCTTGAAATTTTGTTCCCACAGGTCCAGATGCGAGCTCCCGCGCCATTGACTCATTTGGTGGGAGGAGCGGCTTCCATGCGGACTAACTGGTATGTTAGCTAAAGAATGAACAGCTGCACTGAAATGTGAAACTGCTCGCTGTGCCCAAACCTATGGTGACGGTCAGGACAGAAGCAAAGTAAGTTAGCATTTGGTGACGGAGAGAAAATGGTAGCTGGCTCTATCTGTGAACAGTTGAACTAACTCACCTGAGATAAGCTACCACCGAAGTGAGAAGAGGTGTGTGCGTTGGGATGCTTGCTACTTATAGTAGCAGATGACATGAGCGTCACTGGCCAACCAGGAGTGGCGTATTGAGATAAGTGCTTCTGAGGAACCCGCGGAGGGTCGTATCCCATAGTGAGGCATCGAAACTAATGTCAAAAAGAGAACTACAAAGATGTTCACTGAATGCAGAAAAACAATTACCTTCTTTTCAAAGATGAGCGCAGCGGTCAGAGCAACGGTCTGTAGGAGAAGTAACACACACAGAACACAGAGGAACTGTGGAGGGAAATGCACAAAGAAAATTATCACACTCAGTATTTAGCCAATCCTGGAGAGAAAAGCTCAAAGGAATGTTTTCGTCAGATTTATGGTGTGTTCTTACACCACACCTGTTTTGACTCACGTTCTCACAGTGAAATCCTGCTTTTTTGCAATCTTACATCTAAATGAGTAGGCCATAATTAGAGTCTCATCCTTCGTTTGAGAAACATAAAAGCACACATTCACTCAGTGCTACCCATCTTCAGAAGCTGTGTTTGGGTCTGAGTGTGTGTTCAGCAGCTGATCTGAGTCTACAAATGTTGGAATAAAAACCTAGCCTACGAAGAGCAGAAAGCTGCTGGTTCAAAACCTGCTCAAAAGGAACAAGATCAACTTCATCTTTTGAACATTTTATTCATGAACTTTAAAAACTCATTTGGTTTACTGATTTCCTTATCCTCTTCCTCGACATGCAGACACAGATTTTTCTAACATTAATTTTCCTTTTCATTTCATCTTATTTTAATTTACCCAATTGGACGGTTGCCTAGCAACCACAATAATGTATTTCTGTTCAGTAAGAGCTTGTTCTTTATTAACAAAACCAGCAGCTGTGCCTTTAGATGTAAGAAGGAAACAGCGTATTAACCGTTACCGTGGTTTTATAATTAATGAAACAGCCTGTTGTGTGTTAAACACAAATGAAAGTTTGTCAGATTTGATGTTTGTAGTAATTCATGTAACCCCACACAAGTATACTCATGCAAGTTAAACACATACTAATTTAATAACTGATCTGATCAATATACAATCCTGAACATCAGCTGAGAGAAAAAAGCTAACAATCCAAGGAGTAGCTCTAGGCTGCATGGCTCCTTAAGCACAGAAACAGACTGTGTGCAGATATTCACGTGTTCTTCTCCAACATTCTCACCATGTGCAGCAGGGTCTTGTTGTCTCTGAGGGATCCAACCATCCCCACCACAGACACAGTAAACATCACCAGGCCCAGCAGGATGAGCACAACGGCAGGTGCCAGGAAAATACCCTCCAGAGTCCGATTCTTCTGCCTTTCCACTTCTGCATATACTCCCACACATAGTACACACAGGCCCATGAGCTGCGGGAACAAAGAAAGTAGCAAAAAAAAAAAAAAAAAAAAAAGACAACTCATGATGACGACTGTCAATGCACTGAAGAACATCAAGTAAAAGGTATAAGCGCCTATGACAATGTAATCCCTGTGGGATTAGGGTTTTGTGAATTAGATTAATTGTGAACCAGCTCTGAGTCTCACTGCTCTCACTGGCAACCCAGACTCCGTTCTACCAATACAAAAATGGAGAGTTGTCATCTTTTATGTGTTATCTGCAGCACATTTTCAGTCACTCTTCCTTGAAATTATTTTCTTGCTGGTAGTTCAGGTATTTAAATCTCACTGCTGGCTAGGGCTGGGCGATATGGCAAAAATAGAATATCACGATTTTTCCAATATTTTATCACGATTTTGATTTTATCACGATTTTTTATCCATGAATAGCATAACTTCAATTGCGTATTAAAGAAGAGAAACATTGAATAAATAAACATTTATTCATATTAGGGATAATCAGCACAGTGCTAACACACTTATATTTTAAACTCACACCAGAGATGATAAAAGCCCTGAGAGAAACAATTACAAAAATCAGTTTTTCTCGTTTTTCAAGTAACTTAACATAAATTAAAATCGTAAACATATTTAAAGTGCAAACATGTCAATTGCAAACGTATTGTGCAAACATTAACTTGTTCAAAATACTATGTAGCTCCCAGTTGCTCATGTAGTGGATAGTTAAGCTCAAATACGGCTCTGATGTGCGGCTGGACCAGAGATCGCTTGTGGTAGCAAATAACTGCGCATTCTGAATATTTTCTGCAACAAGTCTCTAAATAAAGTAAAATTTTCCAGTGGAAATTGGAGACAACCCATAGAAGCACTGATTTGATCTCATTTCAGAGAAAAAAAGAACAGGTCAAATGCACCTAATAAATAAAATTACTAACAAACTCAGGAATCTTTCTGTGCTTCACTGTTCTGGTGCTGAAAACATCACTAATGCGGATCAAAGGAGATACACAGATGAATGCACCTCTTATTTATTATTTGGAGACTACATTTACTGCAGCTGGCAGAGGCAGAGATTGTTTCTATTGATACACGGAGTTTACAGAATCATTTTAAATGTTAATAGGGGAAGACTGCAGGAGGGAGCGGTAAAATACAGCGGGTCCCCAGCAAAAACAAGAAACTACGAGTCTGATGAAACCCGCTGGTTTTCCATCAGGCAGTCACGGGGCAGCTCCAGCGACCCAGTGACCGAGCTCAGTCTGGTACCGACACCGGCTCGGCAGAGGGTGGACGAGCCGAGGCGACGTCGTGCTCTGCTTAAGAAGCGGTGTTATTTTCCTGCTTCAGAAGAAGCGTCCAACGTGTTTTTACGCTTTCTCCGAGACATGTCACGTCGCTAAGTTGTTAGCGCCGCACGCTAAGGAAACCCTGCGTTCCTCTTCGGAACAAAAACCTCGTTGTCGCTCTCAGCCGCGGCCGAAGCCATGTTTGTTCACACACAGGTGAAAACAAGCGGGGCACTAATATATTAATATGACTCACTCTGACTGGTTAAGGGTCAAACAAAGGCGTGTCATTCGCCTGAGGTAAGTTCCATTTTCATTCAGAGGCAGAAATTCAACAGCAGAGCTGTGAATCGTGATAAAACGGTCTCTCAAAAATGACAGACCGTCAGATGTGTAGATCGTAAAACGGTCTAAAATCGTCATATCGCCCAGCCCTACTGCTGGCTGGTTGCACAGTACACCTGTACGCGTGACCTCAGCTGCTTATCATAGGCTACTCTGTCACGTACTCCTGAGGTGGATCAAATAGGGGCTCAACTATGACCCATTATCTCATGTTAACACTTTCAGCCAATCACAGAGGTGCACAGTAGGGCTGCTCAACATGGTTTGTAGCTCTTAACAACTCATGTCAAACACCCGCCTGCACGTGTAAAACTGCTTAAAGTGTCACAGGAAGCAGTTGCTTAATTACCAATACCTGCTACTCATTTTCATGCAGAACCAAAATGATTTAAATAGCATAATCTTTTGACACTGTACAAGTGAAAATGGAAAAATAATAAAACTGTGCAAAAGTCTATTTATGTCAGTAATCCAGCTCAGACTGAGATACCATCTAAAGGCTCAGGAACCCTCTGCAGGTGTTCTGGATTCATCAGCTGATCAGAGTGCGACACTTTCAGTCTAGAATGAAATTTTGAATGTGGGGTTTTCATCAGCTGTAAGCCATAACCATCACATCACAACTACTACTGCTTTTGTCCCACAAGTCTGTTCTTCTTATTGAGGACATGAGCTGCAGCACTGAAGTCAGGACTTGTGCAGACAACGTGGATTCGGAGAGTCGCAGAGAGGACAGAGTGTTACTTTGCCCATGTTGCAGCTTCAAGTTTCCATAAAAATATTTTTGTTCACAAATTAAGACGTTTAAGGTATTAAAATGATAATCACAGCTTTTTCGGACTCCAAGGACTCCGCCATGTTGGATTTGTTCACTAAATGCGTGCACCGGATTGGTGTAAAACGATAATGTGAGAGCCGCTTCACTTCTATCTCGTTACACTCAAAACAAACTAGTCCCAAATTAAAACACCATGGTCTTCATTTTTAGGAATGTGTGGAGAAAACCAGGCACTGCTCATCACTTGTTCAAGACAGTCCAGGGATATCCTAGACAAGGACCTTCAGAGTGCTCAGGACCCCAGACTGGGCCAAAAGTTTACCTACCAACATGACTATGACAATGTCTCTGGAGTAGGGCTGGGCAATAAATCGAAAATGTATCGTTATCGAAATTTCTGACACTTATCAAGGTCATTTTTCCCATGTCAATAAATTTGATAACAAAATTAAAAGATGTGTGAAGGTTGGCAACATTCATGTTCCTTTAAGAAGCTGTACCATTTTGAGTCACGTAAAAATGTGACTCAACTTCAGCGCTATACACATGACAGCCCCATCTAGAGGACAACTTTTGTTTCTGCACATACCTGTAGATATCGTCCATTTATCGTTATCAAGGTGAAATCCTCAATATATCGTGATATTGATTTTAGGCCGTATCGCCCAGCCCTACTCTGGAAAGACCTAAAGATGGCTGTCCACCAACGTTCACCATCCATCCTGACAGAACTAGAGAAGATCTGCAAGGAGGAATGTCAGATGATCTCCAAATCCAGGTGTAGGAAACTTGTTGCATCTTTACCAAGAAGACTCATGACGGTTTTAGCTCAAAAGGGTGCTTCTACTAAACACTGAGCAAAGGGTCGGAATACTTAGGACCATGTGATATTTCAGTTTTCTTTTTTAATAAATCTGCATAAATTTCTAAAATGCTGTGTATTTCAATATGAGGTGCTGTGTGTACATTAACGAGGAAAAAAATAATTTAATTGATTTTAGCAAATGACTGCAAGTTATGGGGGTCTGAATACTTTATGTACCCACTTTTTTGACTAGCATGATTATATTAATACAAACCTAAAATGTTATTGAAAAGTAGGTCCAAGTGGTGTTGCCATAGTTTGACGTCATTGGCAGGCGCAGGACCCCGAGCAGATACGGAAACTACAACGCCAGAAAACTTCAGTCAGAATTGCATTTTCTCGATAGAATTAACTGAAGGACCATCAAAGTCTGAGGAGTCGCGCAAAGGTTGCATGCTTTCTGGTCCAAAGGCGACAACACTTACCGCAATGTTTTTTTAAACTACCGACTGTCACGGCAACATAGTGTGATCCTACCCTGAAATGTATGTATGTACTGCCACCTATCGCCAAGAAACTACACACTGTGACTTTACAGAACAAAGACTAGGAGGACATAGAAAGAAATCTCACCCATTTACACGGAAACGAATGAAACTTTACACAAAGTTGGACCTTAAAGGCGTTATTTTGTCAGTCCCCTTTCACCAGAGTTGATAGAACCAGCCCTTTTGAACTCCAAGTGTGAATGACAGTTTTTCCACAGACGAAATTTTTGAGTGATACATTCTGCGATAGTTGAAAGATTCAGTGTCAGCCATGTCTGGGCTATGGCTTGCTACCAAAATCAGCTAACCTAGAAAAACCAGACCACCTGCAGAAGTAGCTAATTGATTTAGCTCTGCAGGTTGGTCTAGCAGCAACTGGAATTAAACAGCATTGCTAAAAGGAGAAAATCTTTTGAAATAAATACCAATGTACTGTTTTAATGAAGTAAAGACGAAGTTGCCACAAGAGGTGAGGTCGAAATGAAACGAAACAGTTTCTGAATACGCAGAGTTTCTCATAAACAACGAAGACGGCATCTGAAGCAGAGTTCGCAGTGGCTCTTTCCTCTGTTCTAAATGACTTGAACATGTTTTTAAAACAACAAGTAGAAGCACTAAAAGACTTTCTTCTAAAGAAAGATGTTTGCGCCGTCACCAGACGCCATTTTTGGCTACAGCAAAAATAGCGTCGAGCGGTACAGTCTGCTTTTCTGCCTTTTTTCTGACTGGTTAGTTTTGAGCTGGCTAGTCCCGCCCCTCATGTGCCTCTCTGCCTGTAAGTAACCAGACTAGTTGTCTGTGTACACTTAGAGGACGAGTCTGGCAGGCCAGGCTAGTGTGGAGCAGTTTTGAGTTGCTAACACTCAGTAACAACAACAACAGACTGCAGCTGCAGACATCTAGCCTGGCAAAGCAAGAATTTGGTCTAGTTCACTAGGCTAGCAGACATCCACACATAAACAGGATGGTGTGGATTTTTCTTCCATTTGTAGAGTTGAGTTATTCACAACCATCCCGTTTTTTTCTGAACCCCAGTTGATCGCGATTCGTGAGTGTGCTGCGCGCTAGCTTGCCATTAGCCAATCTGCCCATAGTTTAACCCCAGTTTTCCACTGGCCGTGAAAGCAGTCACGTAACATAATAGAGACATTCCACCTACGAGCTCATTCCCAACCAGGAGCAATTCTGATGCAAAACGGGAGTGAAAGCGCTCCACATTGCTAATCCCGTGACATCACAAAATCATG